TCTGCGCCTCGCTGCGGCCTCCTACCAGAAGAATCTTTAAATGAGAGCACGTGAGCAGAAAAGTGGGGGCCTGTCCAGCCAAACCAGACACATGGTGGGGGAGCATTCTCACTCCTACTCTCAAACTGGGGGCGCTAGTGGGATTGAAAGAAGGGGCTTCAACATCCACAGTCCTGATGGGGGGACCGTGCATGGGGCATCCTCATCCCCACTCCTGATACTAGAGTGGTGGGGGGGGCAAGTTCTTACTTGGCAAGTTCTCCCAGACCCTAGAAGTCTTGCCCACCTGTGTATGAGATGGGGGTGGTTGCCCACCCCCCAGAGGGGGCATTGAAGGCCCGGTGAGGGTTTCTAGGCCTCTCATTTCCCTGTACCTTGGTCCAGGGTCCAAGCGGTCTTGACCTGCCCGCCTGCCCCTCCCCCCCCAGGGGTTTCCCTGCAGGCTGGCCCCTGCCCCTCCCCCTCCGCAGCTCTGCATGCTCCTTGGTCCAGTTGGTCCAGGGTCAAGGCGGTCTTGACCTGCCCGCCTGCCCCTCCCCCCCCGGGGGTTTCCCTGCAGGCTGGCCCCTGCCCCTCCCCCTCCGCAGCTTGCATGCTCCTTGGTCCCAGCTTAGGCAAAAGACCGGCCTCAGGGTTCAGTCTGTGGTGATGAGTCCCACCGCAATACATCTTCCTCTCCTCTCCGGGGTCAGCTTCCCCAAGTTTCTATGGCAAGGCCGCTCTCCGAGGCCCCTCGAGGGCCCCTCAGATGAAAGGGAGAGGCCCAGGCTGCCCGGTTTGTACAGAGACAGCAGTTCTGGCTGCAGGCTGCTCCCCACCCAGAGCCCCCGGAGACTGGGGCCGCTGGAGAGCTGAAAGCTAGATGTGAAGGTGAACTTGCTTTCATCAACAGGAGACTGCTCGAGGTCCAGAGCGTGAGTGGGTGGGGAGGGGCCATCTCTCTCCCCGAGACCTGAGCTCATTAATTCATTCAATTCATGTTTTTGAGCACCCCGTCTTGGCTCTGGGTGTTGCAGTGACCGGTGACACAGACAGCCCTATTAGGAGTGGGAGAGAGCGTGAACCCAGAGCCAGGTAACACAATGTCGAATGGTAACGCAAAGAAAGCTGAGTACGGGGTGTTGTAGAGTGGGCATTGGGTGGCCCCAGAAGGCCTTCGAGGAGTGACGATTTGAGCTGAGACCTAAGAGATGAGAGAGAGACCAGGCAAAGGAGAGGGAACTGTTTCCGGCAGAGAACACAGCCGTGCAAAGGCACCGAGGCGCGGAAAGACTTGCTGGGCCCCGTGGACGCTGGCGGAGCCTGCAGAGGAGTTCCGGGAGGTGCCTCCTGGCTCGAAGGCAACGCTAAGTGGGGTCGGGAGGTTTCTGCCCCCGCTCGCCGTATCTGGCCTGGGGCTTTCCACTGGCATCACTGAGCCGCTTGGAGGGCCCAGGGCCCCGGTGTGTGGTCTGGGTGTCCCAGGCTGTTGGCAGGGCTGTCCTTGGGCACAGTTGGGAAGGCGGCTTTACAAACTTCCGGACTGGGGGGTGGAGCACTCAGGCCCCCCAAGCCGCCTGCCCCCTCCGGTCAGGCTCTCTGCTCTGGCTCTTCCCCCACCCTCCCCAGGCCTCCTCAGGGCAGGGGCAGAGTCCCCGTCCCCCTCTTCCCCTTCTGGGGTCCTGTTGCGAAAACCTTTTGACTCCCCCGTCATCGTCCTTTTTGATTTTTAAGATCCTTGTTAGGAAGACAGAGTGGAACCCAAACAGTTCGTCTGCGTTCCTGCTACCCTAATCCTCCTCTGAGGACGGAAGGCCAGAAAATGTGGGTGCGGGGGGCCCCAGGGACGATATCGCAGCATCTCATTTGGATACAGGCCTTGGTGCGGGCTCCGCATTGCTCCAGCTGCCGGCCTTGGGGCGCCCTCTGGGCCCCTTCCTGCAGCCCCTTCCCCACCCTCCGGGAACGAGGGGAACCTCCCACTCTGGTCTCAGAGACACTTGGGCGAAGGACAGGGTGTCTGCCGACTCACTGTGGGGCCCTTTTGGGGCTCCTTTTTAGCGCTTGCGGTGGCCGTTTTTTCTCTCCTTTGATTCATTTCCAGGTGATCTAGCCAGTGCCTTGGGGACCAGCCGGCATCTCCTCCAGATTCTGGGCACTGGGTGGTCTGAGGCAAAAGCCTGCTTGCCTGCCCCAGGCGAGCTCGCGACCTGACTATGCCCCTGTAGAGGAAGCCCTGGATGCCTCCAGGGCTCTGAGCTTACCACCCCCCTCCCCAACCAGCCGACTGAGCCCCACAGCTCTGGGCTCTCTGCTGACCTCTGGTGCAGTGGGGGGCAGCCGCCGAACTACTGGCTTTGACTGGTTTACTCACACACACCTGTGCCCTTTTCTTCCTGGAGGAGACTGGGGGGCTTTGGGGTGTGGCTGCCAACAGCAGTTAAGGGACAGCTTTGAGACCAGTGCTGCTGATGGGAACGGCTTAGACCCATGCTGTCCGGTCCGGTGGCTGCCAGCCACATACGGCCCTTGAGCCCTTGAAATGTGGCTCACATAACCACAGAATGGAATTGTCCATTTTATTTATTAACTTTAAAATGAAATAGCCCCATGTGGCTGGTGGCTGCCATGTTGGGCAGGGCAGTTCCGGAACCAGGCAGTCTGGACCCCACCCTCACTCCTCTCATGAGGCCGGCCAAATCACCTAACTTCCCTGTAAGTGGCAGGGTGCCCCCATGGTGGGCGGTCCAGCAGGTGGCCTGGTCCCCCGCTCTCCAGCCCTGTAGCGTCCGAGCCAGGGTGGGCTGGCCGGACACCTCACACACATCACCAGCCACCCAGCGTTTCTGATTCCTCCAGCCCTGCGTGGGCTCAAGAATTCGTGTTTCAAACAGGCTGAGGCTGCAGGTCTGGGACCACACTTCGGGAAACACGGGATTCCGTGTCCAGCAGCGCCCGGCACAGTGGCTTTGGAGATGAACGCCAGCTCTTGTTCACCGGCAACCACCAGCGTCCCTGAGACCACCCTCAGAGCCTCGCTCCTGATGACATCTCTCCGCCCTCAGTCCCGGGCTCCCCACCTGCTTCCCAGGCCCCTGCCGCCAGCCCAGTTGTCTCCTGCTGCCTTGCTCCATCCTGCCCAATCCCCGGTCTGGAGAAGGGGATCCTGCCCACAGGGACACTGCCAGAGGGAAGCCTCTCCCCGCCCCAGCCTGTGGAGGTGCTGGCCCTTCCCCGTTGGTTTGAAGCCCAGCCCTCACATGGTCCCGCCCCCAGAGCTGGGCCCTCACCTGGTCACCACCTGCAGCCCAGGCCCTCACCTGGTCACCGCACACAGCAGAGGCATTGCTGTTAACTAGTTGCTTGTAGGATGGCCCGTCAGCCCTGTCCATCTCTCCCGCTTGGCTCTGCGTCAGAGTCCCTGGCCCTCTGTAAGGCTCTGAGCAAAGTTAATTGACACGAAACTAGTCGAAACTCAATTTGCTCTCACAGATCTGATTCCACTCTATAAATCATCCGAGCCAGCGGCTCCTTCGAGATTCAAACACATACCTTCTGCTTGTAATCTAGCCCACAGGCCAGCCCCTGGTGCTGCATCTGTGAACCAGCTGTTTGCTCCAGCCGGCAAGAGGCATTTGTTGGTTTCCACCTTCCAAGTGTCCAGGTAATAGCACCTCGATGTAGTTCAGATCCTTGGCCTACTTCCGCGAATGCGGTCTGGGCCGGGGGGCAGCTTGCTGAGATGCCCCTCCCTCTCCTGGTGTGCTGGCTCTCCCTGCAATCATGCCGCCTAACAAGCAGCCCCCAGAAACCCTGTGACTTACAACACCAGGTAGGTTTTCCTTGCTCACAGGTTGACTGAGGGGCTCTGCCTCAGACTGTGGCTCAGGTCCAGGTCCGCTCTAGGGGTCTCTCTCTGGGACCCAGGCTGCAAGAGATGAGCTACCTGGGAGATTCTCTTTGCGAGACTCAGGGCTAAGTCAAAGCCCCAGACACGCGGAGCACCTCTGCCTTAAGCCTTGCTCACATCCTGCCCAAAGCACGTCAGGTGGTCAACACCACCATCCCTGGGATGGGAAGTTGGTGCCTCCCACTCCAGTGGAGGGTGACACTGCAGAGTCACAAGGCAGGGGGTAGGTGGTCCTA